GGGGTAGAGATGATTGCCGTCCTAAATGGCTTGCATTTGCTTGTGTATAGAGTCAGAATGAGCCAACCGACACCTTGAGATCCCACTGTGCCTTTTGATTCCTCACGCCTATGAAGATTCTGTAACCATTACTCAGTTTCATGGAAAGGGAAAGCCAGACTATCTCCTGGATTGTCCGGAAGGTGGCAGAGACAGGGGATGCTTGCACACAGTTTCTAATCATATTAGATCACTTGACATTTTTTGTATGAGCAATAAGTTGATAAATGAGGAAGGCTGGTCACTGTCGCAGTTATTAATGAGAAGAGCTACCATCTTCATGGTAATGAATTTTGATGAGGGAGAAGAAACACTGCTGGCAGAACCAGCAAATGTGCAGTTGCTGCCTGGTTACTGCCTCTGCCTTTCCCTGGGCTGGTGTCAGAAATGAGACCCAGGGACAGAAATGCAGAGATAAGCCCTGAAGCTGTACCGTCTAAGAGGCAGGCCTAGGGCAGACCTTGTCAGTGACATTGAACTCATGGTTACTCTGCCTTCCTTGGCCTGGCCTCGGGAGACAGGTTGGCGTGGGTAAAAAATAAGTATGTGCTTGGCCTTGCAAGACTTTAGTAGAGAAATTCTGCATCTAAAAGCTTGGCCTCTGACAGTCTTTTGACGTGAAGTTATAACATTGGAAGAGGCAGTGAAATTTTCTGAGGTTACATGAAGGCCTTTGAGTGGGCTAGCCACATGGCTTGGGAGGGAGTGCTGGCAAGTGTGCAGACTTCCTTGCTGCTAAAGGCAGAAAAAGAAATTATTATCATTACCCAACCCGGTCCTGGTCATCATAAAAGGAGCCTTGCACCCGTGCTTCGAGTCCTCCACGTCTAAGCAGGTTTGCCTTTGGAGCAGGCCAGACACAGCTTCTGGTTGTGCTTGGTGCCCCCTCTGATGGTCAGACAAAGATGGCTCTAGTGTAGCTTCTAACAACCAGGATGGGAGCTGCTCTCATTGCACTTTGTAATCTCTGAAACTCACTCTATTGGAGAGGCGCTGCTTAGGGACGTGAAGGCTCTGTAGCCTCTTGACTACAGCTCAGGGGCACAGGTTTGTTTAGCATCCGGGGTTTAAGAACTATAGCTCCTTGGCTGGGAGCATAGATCAGTTCTAGAACAGTTACTCTGCAAGCACAAGACCGTGAGTTCAATTCTCAGCACCACGACAAAGCTCACAGTACTTGTAGGCTTGTAACATCACTTGACCTCTTACACCCTTCCATTCGCCCACACAAACATCATTTCTTTTGCCCGCTTGTCCACTCCCAAGCCTTTTGGTTGGCTTTTAGGAACCCTGTCTAAGGAAAGTATGGCCCTTGAAGCAAATAATAAGTCCAAATATTCTGGGTAGGGGCTGTCTGAGTGGATGAGAGTGACTCACAGACCCACAACTTGCAGAAAAGACGAGAAAGGAGATAGGGACTCTTCTTCCCCCGGCAAGGCCATTTTGATCCAAGAACACTATGAACTTGGTAATTGGATATGCTTTTAGAAGCCAGCCTTGCTATTTTAGAAATGGATTTTGTAGCTGCTATGTAAAATCAGCATAGCTATTCACCGAGCAAATCAATGAAGAATACTGTGTGCCAATTTGTGCTGGGGAGCCACAGTTCCTTAAGCAATTATCAAGGCTGAGAAGGTCACACAATTTCCATACCTGGTGAGTCCAGGTTTATTTTCAGGTAGCTGTGTCCAGCTTGGGCAATAACTGTGCTGGGAGAGTTTTTGTCCTGTGCTGACTTGTTCATACGAAACCACCTTTCTCCTACATGTAGAGATACTCCATCCAAACCCATAGCTAGTCACCTCTTCATTTTCCAACTGCCATCCTCTGTCCCCAAACACACATATTCAAAACAGTGGCTTATAGGACGTTAGGCAAAGGTGTGTGTGTGTGTGTGTGTGTGTGCCCATGTGCATGTGTATGCTTGTGCATGAAGGTGGCGGTGGTGGTATAGCAGTTTCCCAGGACTGTTATGACAATCTACCATATACTGGTGTCTTAAAACAACAGAAAGTTATTGTTTTACAGTTCTGGAGGCTAGACATCTAAAGTCAAGGTGTCAACTGGGCCATGCTCCCAGTGAAGGGTCTAAAAGAGAATCCTTCCTTGATTTTCTAGTTTCTGGTGTTTACTTCTGATCTTTAGCCTTTGGGAGCCTTGTAGATTAACCATCTAATCCTTGTCTCTGTAAGCACTTATCATGTCCTTCTGGGTCTAGGTTTGGACTTCTTCTTTTGTATAATACCACCAATCATTGGATCTGAGTCCACCCCAAATCTTTATGACTTTATTTAAACTTGATCATATCTTCAAGATGCTTATTTCCAAATAATATCGAATTCGCAGGGGCTTAAAAGTTGAATGTGTCCCCTGGGAGCACATAATTCAACTTTAAATAGGAATTATTGTTTTGGCAGCCATTGACCTCAAGTTCCATCTGTTTTTTTCTCTTGCACTACAGAGTCTGGAATTATGTCCTCCAGAATCCCTTGGCATCAGAGCTCTGCTTTGCAGTTTCCCAATGAAAGAAACTCAAGCAACGAAAGGAAGAAGACAATAGAAGTTCTTGCTCCCACGGGAGCAGCATCAAGCATGCAGGCTTTGATCAATGGCAGATGTGGGATCACCATAATAACTTCTACGTACCCTCCTGCAACTTGCATCTTTTGCTGTTGAAGGAAGCTGAGATCATCAGCCATCATTTTACAGTTCTAGACTTCTTGGAATCTTATGGTATCTTTCCTTGGCCTTTGCTTCCTCGGTCCTTCTGATAGTTTTAACAGTGTCTGGTATAGATCCCTACTTTGAAAACCCTTGAGTGGTGCCTGTTTCTCTGAGGATGGATTGCCATGTCCTCCTAGAGTGATATCTGAGAACTTTTCAAGGTATGTAGTTTAAAATCTGACCTGCTGGAGACCTCTCTCAGATTACTGAGCAGTGGGGACATGCCTTGTCCCTCAATGACAGTTGAGGACCGCAGAACAACATGTGACTATTATAATACGCTCAAGTGAGAGTCGGGATGAGGTTTCTCTGTAAGAGCTCACAATCTTCAGGGGTCAATACACACGAGGTTAGGTTACAGTAGAATAAATAAATGATGTCGCTCTTAGGTTGCCATGGAAACTGCAAAGACAGGACTATATATCAGTCTTTCGTTCAAAACCTTCTCGGGCTCCCTGTTGCATGATGGATTAAATATCAACACCTCAACTAGTATTCAAGACGCCTGCGTTAGAGTCACTAGAAAGCAGCACCCATGCTGACAAAGGCTTTCATTGCCCCACCCTTGTTTCTGTGCCTGGCCTCTGACAAGTTTTAATACCTATTAGCAAGCGAATGAGCGTCTGCCTCTACACTGCCGTGAAGCTAGCTGCTTACCCATTCTCGCTGTCTATCCTTGGCTTTCGCTGTACATTTGTTCACACGGCCTCTCTTTGTAGCCACTTTCCCTCTCATTTCTTTCTTTGAATATCCTATTGTTTAGGGCCTAATCTCATGAACTACTCTCAATCAGTTCCAGGCTTCCACTCTTTCCTGGGTGGGCTCTCTCCTTGCTTTGGGCTCCTAAGCCTGCTCTAAGAAAAGTTAATAACCTTATTTCAGGAAACTGGCTTTAGGTTAACAGTGAAGTCGAATGGTTAGTCAAGAGAGGTCCCTGCATTCTCCTGTCTTCCCCTCCATTTCCTCTGAGTCTTTAATGCCAGATAGCATATAGAGGAGAAACAAAGGAGACAAGAACCCAATAGGTTATCCCTGTGGGTGTGGCCTATCCAGACAGTAGCCATTATCCTTTGTACCCTGTCTTCCCCTTCCTTTTCATTGCCTTCCTTTTCTCTCCTTTCTCTTCTTTCCTGGCATCAAGGACACACAAGGAACTGTTCAACATCACAGCTTGGTTGCTGTTATTTAAAGATTTATTTTTTTATATGAGGGCTGTATCTGCATGTATGCCCAAAAGACAGAAGAGGGCATCAGATCTCATTATAGATGATTTGTGAGCTGCTATGTGGGTGCTGGGAATTGAACTCAGGACCTCTGGAAGAGTAACCGGTGCTCTTAATTGCTGAGCCACCTCTCCAGCCCAGCTTTTGTTGTTTTTTAAGCAATGGAATCTTGCTCCATTTCCCAGGCAGACCTCCCATTCCTAGATGCAATTCAAGAAGCTCCACAATAGACAGAGATGGCAGAAAAAGTTCTCCAAGGTCTTGCAAAAGAGAGGGCACTGGCCATGAGGAGTCTTGGGATTCACCAGGTACCCTGCTGGGAGAAGGCGAGGGATCAGGTTAGGGCAGAAAGCTAGGTCTAGATGCAACTGAAGCCAGCCATGTGGCTAAGGGCAGCCAGAGCTGATGTTAGGATGCTGCAGGGACCTTCCCTAGGTCAGCATATGAAGGCAATAGGATCCCGTCAAGCCCAGGAACCTCTGTGAACTTTAGAGTCTGCCTGTTTGGGATGGGAGGGGGCACTAGGACCCAGTTTTCTCATTCCTGGTGCTTTGCTTTTAAAGACAGTTCTCTGGTCTTTCTATTTTTTGTGTTTATTTTAATGCAGCTGAATCCTGAAATGTAAGAGAGCAAGGCAAGGCTGTTCCGATTGAAATGGGTGTGGAAGCCAGAACCCCCTGTTCACCTCCCAAGGTTTCCCCCAAACGCGTATCTTCTCAGAACACAGCTCATGAACACAGCACTGAGATGTGCAGTCTCCTAGCCATACCTTGAATTTGTTACTATAAATAAAACAGGATGTTACCATGGCAACCTTACAGTCTGTTGAAATTGCCCCTTATGGACCAAATTAGCCTGGATCGATAGTGCTTCCTGAATGCGAAATTACTTTCCTTTTGAAAAAAAAAGTTTGAACAAATTATAGAACAAAGCATTGGGGGAAATGAGGTCTGAGTCGATGCAATAACAGTGTTAGCTGCAGCTCTCGGCAACGCCCACACATCGTGTCCTTAGTGACACGTGTCGCCAAGCTGGTGCTCTCCAGGCCAGCACTTTATTCACTGTTCACTTCCATGGCCTCTTCCCCCAGGCAAGCATTTCCCGCTGCTCTGCACGCGTCAGGAGAAAGGACACTTCTGTCTTTAACATCTTGCTTCCTCAGACTCAGCTGTCCAGCGAGGAGACGCTGTCTTCAGAGATGGACAGGTTTTAAATGGCACTCCCCAAGCGGGCTGGCAGGGCGGACCTCGGAGCAGATGTGGGCCCAGACCTCACTCCAGGGAGGGGTTTGTCCCAGCGAAGCCATTAGTTAGCCCTGGAGCCTGGGATCTTCTGCAATTGTTCCTAGGAATTCTTACCGCAGGCCAGAGCTAAGGAAGCTGGAGGTGGGAGGAAGGAGTGACGAGCTTGGCTGCATTTTGGGGTTCATATCTGAGTGTGTACACAAAGCCCCGAATCTTGAACAGTCTTCCAATTGACCTGGTGCCGCAACTCTATGTCTTTTATCTAAAATGCAGGGTGTGTTGGTGTTAGGAACTGAACTTGGATCCTCTTGAAGAGCACCTGGTGTTCTTAACTACTGAGCCATCTCTCCAGCACCAAAGTTGGTTGGTTTGTTTATACAGAGTCTAGGATTTGCTATGCAGTCAAGGATGACTGTGAATTCCTGATCTCCACCTCCTAGTGCTGGGATTACAGGTGTGTGCTACCATGCCCAGTTCTCCTCACCAATACTTCCTGTTGCTTCTTCTGATGCAAATGTCTCCCTCATTTCACATGCAGTTAATAAGAGAGAGGTTCCAGAACGTTCCTTCCAGGTCAGAACTCTCCTTTGGAAATGTTAACCTGAGGAATCCTTTCGCAAATAGTGTTTTATTGGGGTGTGGTAGAAGGGTTCTCAACCAGGAACCAAGGTATTTGTATACATGGCTCAAATCTACCCTCATGAGTTCAGAGCCTTGCAGGAATTGATCAAAAACTCAGGTTCACCACAGCTAATCTGCTGGGTGCATTTACTTGACTTGGCAAAGTACCTTCTGATTTTTAACTCGGGGGGAAGCAGACTGTAGCTCCTTTGAGTTTGGAGGCTGCTGTTTCTCCCCGTAGCACCTTGATTTCCAGGTTCTCAGTTCTTGATGATTTCAATCTGTCAGGATTCTGAAACAAAGCATCGTAATTATAGACATTCCCTTCAGTGTTGTGTGATAAGAACTGGATGGAAGTGGTATGTTATTTTGGGAGCGAGGATTGCACTCCACAGAGAGGCAGATGACAAAGCTGTCATGAGAGGGAATACATAGCAGAGAGGAAGTAGCACCCCACAGAGCGGGGAAGCAAGGCTGGAAGGAGAGGGTTGCTGTGCTGGGATTGTTTCCCGCTTTGCCTCATCTGACAACAGACCAAACGCTAATGAGCTTTGTCTAGATCAGCTGGTGCCTGTGGTAACTGAAAGCTTGCCCCTTCTGAGGGGTGCTGGCGGCTTGAGTGTGGCGTGGTGAGCGTGGCTCTGGCAGCCCTTGCTAAAGCATTAGATTATATTCCTGAAGATAGCCACCAGGGTCCCTTATTTGGCTGCTTCCTCCTTCTGAGGCTTGACTACCAAGGTCCAGTTACTGAAGTCCAGCAGTCAAACAAGCTCCCTTTGGTTCACCTACTTAATATGCCCAATCAAAATATACCACTGCATCGTAGTCCCTTCTAACACAGACCCCCCCCCTTTTATCCTTTTAAAAACGACACCTGCAACGTCATTTGCTGCTGTTTTCTGCCTGAGTTAGAAAGCAGCCACTTTAACTTTTCTTCCTCATTAATAAATGATCTCTCTGCGAAAACAGGTATCAGGGTGTGGTTTGTGCCTAATCTGGGGTGCAGGAGGGAGGTGCGGCTGTGCAGGGGTGGACAATCTTCATGTTCAGACACTGGATTTGTGCTCTCTCTCTCTCTCTCTCTCTCTCTCTCTCTCTCTCTCTCTCTCTCTCTCTCTCTGTGTGTGTGTGTGTGTGTCTGTCTCTCTCTGTGTGTGTGTCTCTGTCTCTGCGTGTGTGTGTGTGTGTGTGTGTATTCATATGTGTGCAGATGCATGTATGTTGTGCACCTGTGTGGTCAACCTTGAGTGTCATTCCTTGGTAGTTGTACACCTTGGTGTTTTTATATATTTTTAATTCTGACAAGAGGTCTTTCCCTGGGACGTGAAACTCACTGCTTGCGGTGGGCTGACCGGCCAGCAAGTTCAGGGCTCTGCCTGTCTCTGCCTTCAAAGCACTGGGCTAACGTGTGTACCATCATTCATGGCTTGTTGGATGATGTTCAGGTACTATAGTCATATTCTTGTAGCTTTAATTTTTTAATTAATTAACTACATTTTGAGGCAGGTCTCATTATGTAACTGTGGCTGGCCTGGACCTTGCTATGTGTTCTAGGTTAACCTCCAACTCACAAGAGACTTGCCCGCCTCTGCTTCTTGAGTGCTGGGATTAAAGGTGTGTGTCACCATGCCCAGTTATTTATCTCTTTAAATCCCCTCCAAATTAGAGAAAATCTCACAGGGAATTCTCTTAGGTGATTCTGGAGTTCTCTAGTCTGTAGCTTTTCATTTCAGTCAGAGCAACTATTTCTATAATACATTCTTTTTTAAAAGATTTATTTATTTATCACATGTACAGTGTTCTGTCTGCATGTCTGCCTGCACACCGGAAGAGGGTACTAGATCTCATTATAGATGACTGTGAGCCACCATGTGGTTGCTGGGAATTGAACTCGGGACCTCTGGAAGAACAGCCAGTGCTCTTAGCCTCTGAGCCATCTCTCCAGCCACTAGTGCATTCTTTGAATGTGTGGTTTCTTAAGAATTACAGTTATGACAATTATTTCATCATTACAGAATAGACTTCATTTCTCAGGACCAGCTGCATAATGTGAGAGAGCCAGGACAAAATAAAACTCTTTGTTCAAAGACCAGAAGAACTGTACCTTCAAAGGCAGATACTAATATATAGTTTTCTCCTCTGTTCCCAGCCTTTCCCTTGACTTATCATAGTGCTTTGAAAAACAAAAACAAAAACAAAACAAACAAACAAAACAAAAAGAACCGCTGTTTGATTCCATTTAAGCAGAGAAAGATTTAAGACCTTCAGTTAGCTGGGCACTGGTGGTGCACACCCTTAATCCCAGCACTCAGGAGGCAGAGGCAGGTGAATCTCTGTGAGTTCTAGGCCAGCCTGGTCTACAGAGCGAGTTCCAGGACAGCCTCCAAAACAATACAGAGAAACCCTGCCTCGAAAAACAAACAAAACAAAACAAAAGACCTTCTGTTGTTGGCATGAGTGTGCAGTTCATCTCTATGTGGTGCAAACATAAGAGCATTAGCTCTGCATGCAGAGGCATTGAGATCACTTGGATTAGATTTCATGTTTTATGTAAATGTATGTGTACTTTGTGCTTTCCGGAACAACAGAGCTGCACCGAGAAACAAAACCTACCATTTCCCCTTCCTGGCTCGCACACATCCTGTCTCCACACCCCGTGGGCTGTCAGTGAGGAAGAAAGGTTTGGAAGGAAGAAAATGATCATGGACTCATCTTTGCTTTGTTTCCAGGCTATGTAGTCCTGCCTGGCCTGGAACTCTTGACATAGAGAAGGCCGACTTCAACCTCACAGAAATCCACCTGCATCCGCCTGCCGATGCTGGGACTAACAATGTGTGCACCACAGATCAGGATGCCTCATCTCTGAAAACCTCTCATTCCCACAGTCATGTCTAGAGTAACAAACTGGCAAGGACAAGATAGTAACCCTAGTAAGGAAGGGAGCAGGCTGGTGATGTGTGCTTTTTGGAACACCAGCACTGGAGTTCTGCATTTGCAGAGAGTTCCCATTTGAGAGAACAGGTGACCGCAGGGCTGTGGTTCCTTCCTGCACTGTGCTGTCCTGGTGACACACTCATCCTGAACTCACTGTAAGTCTAGCTGAATGCACCTGTCTCTGGCTCCACTATGGTTTCTGTGTTAAAACTGTGTCATCTGCAACAAGTGTGAATGGGGTGGTAAGGAGTGGTCCCAGATATATATGCATGATAGTATAATTAGAGTAAATGAATGCATGGGTCCCAAGGCCAGGACATTGGCTCTGGTGTCTAAAATACAATGAGAACTGTGATAACATTAAATGTAACACCTACTTACTAGGTGCCAGGAGCTGTGACAGTAACTTGTGCATTTCTTTTTTTTTTTTTTTTTTTTTTTTTTTGGTTTTTCGAGACAGGGTTTCTCTGTATTGTTTTGGAGGCTGTCGGTCCAGCCTGGCCTCGAACTCACAGAGATCCACCTGCCTCTGCCTCCGGAGTGCTGGGATTAAAGGCGTGCACCACCACCGCCTGGCAACTTGTGCATTTCTTAGGCTCTAACATACCCACTGTTTGGTATCAGGAGGAAGTTGCTTGCCCCCCAAGAACAAGAAGCCACCTCCTGGGCCCCTGGGATTTATACCCAGGCAGTCTTACCACACTATAGTTTGTAGCCTGGTGTTTAAAGAAGGTAATTAGAGAAATTGCATTTTTTCCAATTTTAATTACATAAGGAATTTGGTGGGGAAATATTGAGGAACATTGCTGGACTTATCTATTATAGCGTCACAAGTCACCCCCAAAGTTCAGTGTCTTAAGGCTATAACATTGTGAATCTGTGTTGTGGGCAGGGTATGGCATGGTAGATGGCTTAGTTAGGGTTTCTATTGCTGTGATAAAGCACCACAAACAAACCCAACTTGGGGAGGAAAGTGTTTATTTTGTTTACACTTCCACATCACAGTTCATTTTCAAAGGAAATCAAGGCAGAAACTCAAAGGTGGAAGCTTGGAGGCAGGAGCTGATGCAGCGGTCACAAGGAATATTGCTTATTGACTGTCTTCTTGCCTTGCTCAGTTTGCTTTGTTAGAGCACCTGGGATCAGCAGGCACCATCCACAATGAGTTGGGCCCGCCCACATCACCCGCCAATCAAGAAAATGCAGCACAAGTCAATCTGGTGGGGGTGTTTTCTCGGTTGAGATTCCCTGCTCCCAAATGACCCCACTAGCCAGCACAGGGGAGACAGCACATTCATTTGCTGGGGATGGTGTATTTATGCCACACTTGGTGCTCCACAAGCCGAGGACTGATCGCGATCACTCTTGAGTGCAGCGGGTGGCAGCGGAACCGCTGTTGGCTGGAACCTCAGTGCAACTAGCCACGCTACCTACATTTGGTCTTTAAGAGAGTCATCTTTCTTTTCCAACTAGACTCACTGCAGACAGTCCGGTCTTCCCTTTTTGGCTTGTAAATGAGTCCCAAATATGGCAACCTTTATTTAAAACACAAAAGGACTTGTGTCTGAGCCTTTCCCCTGTAGTGAGATATCCACCCCGCCCGCACCTTAATTAGTGTATGTACATCTTTTTATAGTCAATGTAGTTATTTATACAGTTGAATTTAAAGCTTTAATTTGGTCCTTGTTCGCTTATTTGAAAAATTTCTTCTCTTTCAACTCCCCCCTTTTGCCCTCCCACCTTCTCTCTCTCCCCTCCCCCTCTCTCCCTGTTTCTCTCTTCCCCTCCTCCCCTCCCCTGCTCACTCTGTAGTCCAGGTTTCACTTACTCCTGGGATGCTCCCGACTGCTCTCTCTGAGTACCAGGACTGTAAGAAAGCACCACCACTCTAGTCTTGCTTGTTTTGTTTACCTTTTAGGTCTCTTCTTTTTCTGCCTCCTCCCCTTTTTTGATTCTCATCTACTTGTTTTGCCGGCTTATTCCCCAACCCTGTTTGTGTGTGTGTACACACGAGTGTGCATATGTAATTATTTTAGTTTTTATACTACATATTGCCCCTCACCCGAGCACCACTTTCCAGCGACAGCGTGACCCATCAGTACACGTACCAACCTCACCAGAGCACACTCCAGCTTCTCACCCTCTGGCCTCCGTGCTATTATAGGACTATATTTGTAAACATCACACATTTGCCTACTGTTTTCTGTTAAGTAGTAATTCATGGGCTGGCGGGATGGCTCAGTGGGTAAAGGCACTTTCACCAAGTTCCACAACCTGAGTATCTGTGGGACCCATTTAGTGGAAAGAGAGAACCAGCTCCAACAAGCTGTTCTCCAACCCCCGCATCTGCACCCACACAATGGAAAACTCTTGGTTACAGAGGAAATAGAGTTCGAAGCCACAGTACAGCATAATGACTCTCAGAAGCAGGAAAATGAGTAAAAGGAACCACTTTCTCATATCGGAAGAGAGACTGTATTGTGCGAAAATTATTTATACGAAAGTTCCAGGCAGGAAAACATTTTCCTCCATCTGTCACTGCATGTCCCTGAATCTCTCTCTCTCTCTCTCTCTCTCTCTCTCTCTCTCTCTCTCTCTCTCTCTCTCTCTCTCAGTAAGTAAATATAAAAAGTACAGTACATCATCTTTTGAAATGGCCCAGGTAATAAGTAAAAAGCCTCACAATTACCCAAATGGCTACATTTCTGATGATGACCATTCCATTTCATAGATAGAGGTTTACAGGTTTTTTTTAAAGAACCCCCTTTAGCAGTTATTATGTTGATCTATCACTGATTTTTTTTACAGCTTTGTTATATCTGAAGCTTTGTTATTTTACTTGATCAAAACTTCATTGAGGTGTATACCACATGCTATGCAATCCACTTTGTATCTTCCTTTTGTTCCTCCCCCTTGCCTTTTATAAATGTACATTTCTGTGGTTTTACACAGTCACAGTTATGTAATCACCCTGCAATTGGATCTAAAACATTTTTGTCATTTACCAAATAAACCCTATACCCATTAGCAGT